AAAATTTAAGCTTATTTTATGAGTAAAACAACTCCACCACAGCAAACCTGCACACTCAGCAAATTTCCATTTGATTGGATGTTTTATTTAAATAAAATTAGATTCAAAAGGTACCTAGGTTTGCTGCTACAAGTAGGTTTTTATAGTGTGTTTTTTTTTTGTAAAATATCAATACATTACTATAAAATAACTAATTTTCCAAGTTTGATCAAAATATATCAATAAACAAGGAAACTGCAACAGTTAACTAATTCATAAGAATAGCATGGGAGTTTTAAATTTGCAATAAACAAATTTGAATATACAAATTTTGGTTGTGTTTACTAAAAAGATGGCGATTAGTCACGATTAGAATATTAACCAAATGGGTTTTCAAAAGGAGATGGAGCCTGTTATTTAAGTAATATTAATTCGTACCAAGCACCGAAAATATTGTATGCAGTAAGGTGATCTACCATATTTCGTAAAGTACGCAATAGTCATATTAATATTTTATCTTAATTTTTTACCCATTTAATAGTTAAAATTTTAGTATTTTGATGGCACCACCATACTAACTAACTATACTTGACATCCCATTGTAAATTTGGAAGGGTATTTTTCGTGTCTGGTTCATGTTGGTGACTCAAAATAAGCTTATTTTAAAATTTAGCTTATTTTAAACTAAATTGGGACCCAAACCGAGTTTGATCCCACTGACGAATTAAGTATGGTACAGTATAGTTAGTTTTATTTATCAAAAATCGGTGAAACCCATCGCAATCAACGGTTACTTTTCTAGGTTTACGACAATTATTCATCCCACTTAGTTGATATCAGAGTGATAGTGGTAGTGCCATCAAAATATTAAAATGTTAATTTATTAAATGGGTAAAAATTAGTATAAAATATTAATATGACTATTGCGTAGTTTACAAAATATGGTTGATTTCCTCACTGCATACAATATTTCCGATACTTGGTACGAGTTAATATTACAGTACTTAAATTACTTGCTTCATCTCCTTATGAAAACCCATTCGGTTAGTATTCGAATCGTGACGAATAATCGCCATATTTTCAGTAAACACAACCAAAATTTGTATATTTAAATTTGTAAATTGTAAATCTTAAGCTACCATGCTATTATTATGAATTAGTTAACTGTTGCAGTTTGTTTGTTTATAGATTTATTATGATCAAACTTGGAAAATTAATTATTTTATACTAAGTTATTGATATTTTACAAAAAAAAAACACACACTATAATAACCTACCTGTAGCAGCAAACCTAGGTACCTGTTAAATCTAATTTTATTTAAATAAAACATCCAATCAAATGGAAATTTGCTGAGTCTGCAGGTTTGCTGTGGCGGAGTTGTTTTACTCATAAAATAAGCTTAATTTTTTAGATTTTATAGTATCGCACTATTTAACTAAATAGGATAAATTATCATAATCCTTGACAGTAACGGTCAATTTCCATGTGTTTCACCTATTTTTGATAAATAGAAAAAACTAAATATACTTAATAACAAATAACTCAAAAACCGTTGGGTTTAGAGAAAGATAGTAAATACAAAAAAATGTGTATTTTTAGATGACCTACATTTTGTACATTTAACGTTTTCTTGTATCTCTAAAAATAAAGTCACTATGGCGAAAAATACAGAAATATGCCGCCATTTTCCAATATGGCGGCCGTAGCACAGCTTCAATTTTAGGGGACTTTTAGTATGTTCAAAAGGAAGGTACACCCAACATCTGTACCTAATTCCCCGGTTGTGCTAATTTTTTTTAGGTTTATGGAATTTTTCTCTTATTTTTACTGCACTACTTGGTTAAGTTTAAAGTGTGAATTGTAGTTTAACAGCTGAATGTACATTCGTAGTACATTCATTCAGATAATTTAAACAAGAGACGTAGTATAAAAATAATGATAGGCCTACTTTAATTAAATTACAGTCTGGTGTAAGGTAAACAAAAAACTGCAGTGTTTAAAATAATGTTTACCTAAAAAACTTCTGGTAGTGTCCTATTTACAAGCAAATACAAAGTGAAAGTAAATAACAATTTGTTATGTAAAAACCAGATAAACACTAAGTATAAAATACGAAATTAAAAACTAAACCAATGTAACAAGAGACAAGTATGTTATAAAAATGCGTTTAAAATATAATCCTATATATTAATTAACAGTCTGGTGTATTGGTACAACAAAATATTAAAATTAAACTTGTAACTGCAGTGTTTAAATGATCAATTACTACAAAAAGGCTTCTAGTGATGTAGATATTTACAATCAATAAAATAAATTTACAGTTTGTTATATACAAAATCAGAAAATTTAGTTGGATGGAATTAAATGTCCCTATGCATTTCATTCAACAATTAATTAATGTAATTTGCAATTTAATAATTGGAACACACAATTCAACATTGTGCATTTCCAACAAAAATTTTGTTGGATGGAATTAAATGTACTGTTGTTATTAGGTGAAATAACACAGAACAAGTAAGTATCAAAATTAAACTTTTACGGCCAAAATTTAGCGTACGCAGCCAACGAAATAAAGAATTCAAGTTAAAATTACTACAAGTATTTAGCATTTAAAGGTTTCGTAATACAGTAAAGTTAAATAGACACCTTCTAGTGATGAAATGCACTATTTTGTATTGTTTTACTACCTTAACAAACATCTGTTACTTTTATATTTAGTGTTCGCAGCCAACGAAATAAAGAATTCAAGTTCAAATTACTACAAGTATTTTACATATAAATGTTTCGTAATACAGTACTGTTAAATAGGTACCCTCTAGTGATGAAATGCACTATGTTTTATTGTTTAACTACTGTACACGAACATCTGTTACATATTTAGCGTTCGCGGCCTAAGAAATAATGAATTCAAGTTCAAATAACTGCAAGTATTTTACATTTAAATTTTACTTTAAATTTGTCATAATACAGTACTAAAAACCACTATCATATACAGTATTAAAAGAAGCATAAAAGATTTATTATATGTAGTAAGAATTTGCGTATTTTTGAATCTAAAATTTTGAAACAAAAATAGGTTTATTTGGGGCGGATATCCACCACCCGTAGACACCATCACTTCCTGATTCGTTAATGCCAAAGATTACAGCAGTATTCTAATACAATAGTAATGTATTTCCTAGAAGGTTGGCTCCAATGCTATTTGCCCTGTTTCCTGTGTCGACGACCCTGTCCACCACCCCACAGGTATTTCCGGGAGATTCCTGGGATTTAGTGGGTAAAGCGCAAGCTCAGGTCAGGTACCTACTCCCGAGAAAGCTACCCTTTACACCACATAATAGGGGCAGCCCAGGCCGAGTCAGGGGCAGCGCAGGCCGAAAGTCCGTTTCCCGTTTGGTTAGGTTATGATAGTTTAATTTTATAATTAAAAAATTATATAATTGATTTTGAGACATTTATAATTTTATTTTATGAACAGAACTATTTTTGTTATTAGTAAACCTTCATTCGCAATTTTCATTATCAGCAAATTTGGTTAGTTTGGTTAGGTTATGACAGTTAAATTAATTTAAATTTAACCTACAAACGACACGTTTTGACAGCTAAAGTGATTGAGATAACAATTTCCCACGAACAGTTCGGCTATGCACGGTATGATGCGCTCTGCACGGCGTGGTGGTGGGCGGTGGCGGTCTGACGGCAAGGTCTCGTACAGGCAATTCCTGCCGCGTTCACAAACATTTGTCTTGACCGCTTTTTTTTAAAAGCTTGTCGTATCACAAATATTAATTTTAACTGCTTGTGTCATTTTATCAATTCGAAAATGGTTCAGTGCTTTGATATTTGATGCTGCGGTACCTTTTACTCAAGTTAAGTGTAAGAAAGGGCCACGTGGCTCTAACTTGCCTGTTAAAATAATAGTATATTTCATCAGTAGGGCATAAAGTGATTCTTTTTGACTCGAAGTTAAGTTTACGATCGAGGCGAAGCCGAGGTCGGAAAATGAGCGAGGGTTAAAAAGACACTTTTTGCCCGTGTGGTGAACTATATTTTTCGTCATATTGCACCATTTATTAACAACCTAAGCTAGAAAACGAAATCATTTTAAAGTAAACCTCTCAAAATGATTTCCAGCTTGTTTTTATTTCTGCTAAAGCAGCTGTTTGGTGATTCAATCATGACGATTGTGTTACAGTACATTATATACCATCAATATGTCGACCGATCGACAACAATAGGCTAATACCTTTCCTAATAAATCAATCGAAAAATAATTTCGATCGATACGATTGCCATAAACGAAATTTACAACTGTTATACAACAGCTGATTTTACTCCCTAGGGACTAAAAATGAATTTTACTCCCTAGAGAGTAAAAATTCTACTTTAGACCCGCAACGCATGCATCAAAAACGGCTGTTTTTGCTGAGTATGACGAAAAGAGCTTTTCATTTCATTTACCTTTTCTGTGTTTCCTTGGGGAGGACGTGTGTCTGATCTGCCATGTGGATGAATTAGGTAAAACGAGGTAAAAATGGCTAGCCATGGAGGCCAAATAGGAGCAGCTTTTTAAAAATATTGTTCTAAAAACGTTTCTCGTATTGTATACAATTAAAAAACATAATCACTATAATATTCATACATAAAGTCTCACATTAACAGACTAACATACATTATGAAAATGTACTCGTGCAACAATTTAGAAAAGAAGATGCAAGAATTTATATTTCATGTTCAACTGTTTTTATTTATCAACAATATTTTCTGTATGACAGGTGGTTTTTGGAAAACATGTGACGAACGATGAGCCAACGCAAAAGAATTTCATGATTTGCGTCATACTCAAAGGTGCGGCAACATCTGAACACGTGGATGACTGTGACAAATTGATCATTCATCAACAAATTGATCTTCGATCAAAAAATTGATCATCGATCAAAATATTGATCAGCGATCAACAAATTGATCATAGATCAAAATTGTGAAATTGCGAGAATAATTAATGGTTTTAATCATCGGTAACTACGCGAGCAAGTGTAATTAATTTAACCACTTAAAAACACGTTTGCTTATGTTAATTTACAGTCTTCATTCCATCGCCAACACTAACAGTATCTGCTGACTAAAGGTAAGCTAACATCTTTGCGCATTTTTCTGAGCCATCCGATCCTATTGGGGGTTTAAAATCTGCTTATAACTCTGTTGTTTTATCAATGATACTCCTTTTAAAATCAACTAAAAGAACCAAGATGAAAATGTAAATTATCATAAATGTTATTATGACAAATTAAAAAAATTGAAAAAAGCGTATAAAATAACAGTCCTACAACTTTTAACATTTCTTTCAGTTGGACATCTTTTTAAATATTAATATTTTCTTTTTGATTGAGTTTCATACTCTTAATTTATGATTTAATCCTTTATTACTGAAGTTTGGTTAATTTTATTCGAGAAACAACCTTATAAGCATTAAGCATCTTAAATGTTACTCTAATATGAAATATATTGAACAAATTTGAAATTTATTGTATCAAATGTACTATTTATCAATACCATTTTTCTGTTACAGTTGTTTACAGAATATATCTCTTTGCAAGACCGTTATGTATCCTAAAGATCGCTTCTTTAAACTCAAAATTGTGCTTTTAGTGAATTTCCCATATAGGGAATAAGCTATTACCATATGTCTTATGGCAAGACCTTGTCCACGGATGAGGAAATTTTTATGAAGATTAAGTTATTTGTGATTTGTTATTTTGTTATTTTTATGGAGAATAAGTAAACTTTTGTAGTTTGCTTGTACATGAACATATTATGGTCAAATTTAAAAAATCATTTATTTAATACTGTACTATTTAACCATACAAATTTAACAATAAACACACTTTATTACCTTCCCTGTAGTAGCAACCCTAAGTACTTGTTAAACTAATGTTGTTTAAATAGGGAATAAATATGACATTTTAAAGGAGATATTTGAGTGAAAATCCAATCAGGCAAATGAAAATTTGCTTAGTCTGCAGGTTTGCTTTGGGGGGTATTTTTGTTATTAAACTATTACCTATGATATTTGTTGACAAAGTGGGTCCTATCAATAGCGGATACACTGTATTCCATTACTTTATAAACTACCTCTTGTAAAGTTTAGATTGTGTTGTCAGCCAGGTGAAACCAACGGTATTTATACATTTTTATTTCAAATTGCTGTAAAAAGGGAAATTTGTTTAATTTTTTAAATTGAAAATTTTACTGTACATAAAGTTTAACTATATACAATTTATAATATATTTGAGGAGAAAATAAACCTTTATTCTATTTAATTCAATCGTACCGGGTGTCCCGGGGCTTTCTACAAACTTTTTCAGTTATTATTCCTGGACCATAGACAAATCAAAATATTTTATTCCAAATTTCAAAAGGTCAAATGTTACTCGTATAGCCACAATTTTTTTCACAAACACATTTTTAATTTAAGAGCGGCTTCTTATTAAAACATTAAATTTGGTTTATCCCTATTACCTCAAGAACTAATTAAACAAAAGATGTAGAGTGTTTATTTTAAAAATTGCGTCCGCTTAAAAGTTTAAAACGTAAATATCTCAAAAACTGCATATGAAAAATTCAACTATTATGTTATTAAAAGAATAGTACCGGGGGACCGAGCCATGGCTCGGTATGTTTATACCGATTGTAAAGGCAATATAAAGGAAGCTCACGTTTTCATTATAACTAATTTCGCCTTTTATTACTTACGTTTTAGTGGAATGTCAATTTATTATGATGGAAATTTAAACTTGGCAATCCGACACATTAATTTCTTTTAATCTTACATATTTCTTACGCCGTAAATAAATAAAACAAATGTTGAAAAAATAAAAGAAGTAATTTTTGATATTAGTTCCTGTGGTATGAATTAATATAAAACGAGGTGTTAGCCCGTCCTACGTACGGGAATTCAGTAGTCAGTTAAAACCGTGTACAATTCAGATCAGATAGTTTACACATATAAAGACAAAGTTTCTTGCAGTTTTAATGTGAAATATCAACTTGTAAACAAATGCTGTGTGACCAAATATGTTTTTATTCCATCATAGGCCTTTACGATATGCATTTTAAATCCGATAATTTTATAATAAAACAGCAATTCTGCAATTTTTACGATGTGAAAAGCGTTGAAGTGAGATTTGCAGCCGATTCGCACAGACGCACACTAATTATAAGTAGCATACAGTAGAGAGAGTAATAGTCAATTGAGAAGTGTATAGACCTAGTCAACGATACCACCTTCCATAGCATACCTGCCTCTTCCATAATTATTATCACCACAATACAACTACTATACACAATCAGGTTAATACAGTAGCAATTAGCTACAATAGCATTAACACATTAGCTTCCAACTAAACTCATATCTCAGTTACAGAAGAGTGTGACGGTAGTAAGGGACGTGGTAATACAGCGTATGTAAACATCGGCACCAATACCGTAGCTTACAAAGGTTTCCACTCATTGACGGCGCTTCAAGGACAGTTGTGTTAAGTGCAAAGTAAAAAATCACAACTGCAGTGGGTGATCGTGGATGTTGCTGCGATCTTGGAAGATCTTTTTGATTTCGCTGTGATCGTACCGTAACAAAGGTTTAACTTAACAGATGTAGCTAAACTCGCTTATCCAATGTGTCACTTTTGGTTTCTACTTACTTACATTTCAACAACGATATCGGCACTGTTCCTACTTAGGAAATAAAACTACAAACGTACAAAACCAAGATTTGTGCGTTTTTTGTCACATTTCCTCCGAATGTTAGCTAGATATATGTACCGATTACCGATTATCGTTTAGAGATTACGTAATCTTTTAAATAAGAAACCTTTATTTGGATAAAGGTGGTTTCTTCAAACTGTCATAATAAGTTAACATTAAAAGCTGCTTACAAAAATGCTATTAATAGGAAATAACTTTGATTTCCGAAAACTTAAAAAATTTAAAACCAAAAGAGATTAATAACTTCGGTACTGCACCACATCAAGTGAAAGTTTTTTTTTTTTTTTTTTAGCAAACCATAATGAGTTTTCAAAGCTTTACGTTGTTAACGTTACATGTTACATGTTTTGTGGCCTGTGTATTTATTTATATATACAGGTTGTGCCGTAACTCTCTGGACACTTGTATATAGCGTTATTCCTTAGGTCAAGACAAACACATTTCACCATAGGAACATGGGTTTTTTGTTTTCTAGTTTACCGACTGTCGGTATTTATGTGTTTTTTACAAAAAAACTAATAACTCCTAAACGGTTTGAGATACAGCTTTGATATTTTGCAAAAATGTTAATCTTATTAAGACCTATTATCATTAGAAATTATACTAAAAAATCATTAACCGTTTCAAAATGGCGGCCATTTAAAATATTTGATGCCAAATTTCACGAAAACCGTTAACTTTACAAAAAAATTGCAAGAGACAAAAGAGTTTGTAAATTTTATGTAGTTTTCAATAATACCTGATTTGTTAAGATTGGATAAATAATAACAGAGAAATGTCTTCTTTTCTAAACGCATGACCACTTTTCTCCATTTAAACAATGCTAAACAACGTAAAAGGAGTATTAGCATTGTTTAAATGGAGAAAAGTGGTCATACATTTAGAAAACAACACGTTTCTCTGTTATTATTTATTTAATCTTAAAAAATCAGGTATCATTGAAAACTACATAAAATTTACAAACTTTTTTGTCACTTGCAATTTTTTTGGAAAGTTAACGGTTTTCGTGAAATTTGGCATCAAATATTTTAAATGGCCGCCATTTTGAAACGGTTAATGATTTTTTAGTATAATTTCTAACGATAATAGGTCTTAATAAGATTAACATTTTTGCAAAATATCAAAGCTGTATCTCAAACCGTTTAGGAGTTATTAGTTTTTTTGTAAAAAACACATAAATACCGACAGTCGGTAAACTAGACACCACAGACCCATGTTCCTATGGTGAAATGTGTTTGTCTTGACCTAAGGAATAACGCTATATACAAGTGTCCAGAGAGTTACGGGACACCCTGTATATATATATTTGCAGTTTGATTAGAAGGACAGTTTGAATTAGTCGTAAGTACTACAGTTCTTTTCTCAAATGTAAATGTTGGTTTTTGGTACTGCTACTTTTCCTTAGAACCGGTGGTAGCAGTAAGAATCATTTTTACATACAAACACATCACTATTTTCAATATTTATTTATAAACAATGCACCTTATTGCTTTTTAAATTTAATTGATGTCTTACTGTATAATCTTTAGCATTTTCTGTCTGGAGTCCAAAATGTTGTGTGGACTCAATTCTGTATTTGTGTGTGCATGTCTATTGGTAACGCATTAATGTCCTTATTTTTTGTGGAAAAGACAAGAGCACCATTGTTAATAAAAATTTCAACCCGAATAAAGTGTGCAGTAGTGAGGTTGAGGTAGTGTTTTAACTACTTTTAACCAGTGTGAAAAGTAACTTTCAATTACAGGCCTACCTTAGGGTTATGCCTCATAGATCCATACTGTAAAGCAATTCCTTTTTATCTTTAGATATAAAATATGGACTAACACGATCGGGTGACATTTAATTGCGAAGCATTCGTTTTGGCTTTGAAACTGTCAGATATTGTATTTGAGAAGGTTTATATGTATTTCTAAACAATTATAGTTTTGCCATAATATCTGGAAAAATGCACACTAAATATGCAAACCAACTCCTGTTCTGAATATAAGGGTTTAACTTACTACAAGATTCCCGTACGTAGAACGGGCAAACAGCTAGTCATCTCTAAAATACTATCATATGATGGATTAGCTGAAGACAGACAAGTCTGATTCAAGCGTATAAAGATTATTCTAGTACAATTGACTTATATACTAATTCAACTGAATACAGCTGTCCATTATGTAAAAAATAAAAGAGTGAATAAAAATTGTAAAATCTGCCCTTAAATTAGAGTGAAACATTGAGTTGACGGCAGTGCACTCAAACGTCACTAATACAAAACACCATTGTCGAGTAATCAACAGTGTAATCTTTGCTCGATAGTTACAACTGATGTTTTTCCCATTGTACTGTATTTTGTAATTTGTTAGTATACGGTGGATGGCTTGCTGTAAACATATGTTACAAATATGTTGTTTACTTGTTCATTTTTTTTTAAATTTAGAATGAGTTCGGTAGCGAAATACGAATTTTCCTGAAGTAGTGGCTGTCACCAATCACGTTTTTTGGGCTAAAAGTTAGTGATTCCAAAATTAAGTAAAAATACTTTCGCTGGATTTTTAGATATATATTACAGACAGACTTAGCTCGTATTATAGTATAGGATTTTAATTACAAATCTTATGATATACCGAAATTGAAAATCATAAATAAGGGACAAAACTAATTTTTAAGACAATGTGATCATGTCAATACTAACTGTTACTAAAACCACTGCTAGTAGGCCACGTCAATCAGCTGTTTTATGCTTATTGACACTGATCAGCTGTTTGAAACAATTAATTGCTAACATGTGATAATTTCCTGTGTGTTGTTTATTATTAATACGAGTAACTTTTGAGTTTTTGAAATTTTGAATATGATATTTTGACCTGTCTATTGTCCTGGAATAATACCAGAAAAAGTTGGTAGAGAGTTCTGAGAGACCCTGCATATCAAAATATATAATACAAGGTATTGTTCATAACAATTCTTATCACACGAATTGTGTTATGTACATGCTTGGTAACCATTGAATAATATCTTTGTACATAATTCAAGAACGATTTCAGGTGGGAGTACGATGTTTGTCTTATAAACATCTATCTTAGAGTTTCTGTAGTTTTACTGTTAACAATTTTTAGCTACGAATAAATCGTGCTTAAAAATGTGTAAAATAAGGTTTAATATTCACTCTTATTGCTTAAAGTTCTTGTAAGCAACTTTAATCGCTACTAATTCTTTAAAGGTTGTTTGTGTGTTATTTGGGTTTTTTTTTAAGTAAAGCTAGATTATGTCAACACGAAAATTAAAATTATTACTGCAAATTAAAAGTTACGAATACTTAGAATGCATCTAAATAGTATACATCTAAAACTATCTGCTAGTTAAAACTTTTCTTTTAACAGTTTCTTTTCAGAATCTAGAATTATTTTAATGTTTACGATGTTTCAAATCGTAGAATTGTGTGAAAGTTATTTTAGTATTTGAAATTGATTTACTTTATTCTACTTTTTATCTGCGAGGCCCGTATTGAAATAGAGACTGGATAATTTAGTTCAGTGATGACAAAGGGATCGGAAGTAAATCAACCGATTATTATGTGTATACGAGAACGGTTCTATTTTAATCTTAGAATTTGTATGAAGTATGTATACAATTGTTGTAAGTATGTATGACCAGTCTATAAGCTCTAGCTCGACTATAGACGTATAAACTAAAAGGTATTGATTGGAGAAAGATGCTGTACATTTTTTTTTAGTTTGTCCACGAAAAGAAAAATGATGTGCAACACCTTGTTGCTCGTCCTCTTCGCACTTTCCGTGCAAAATATTCCTGTTTCGATGGCGGGAGGTGAAAAGGATGCACAAAATGTGGACACCACAAAAGATCAAGCACAGAATGCGGAAACCACAAATGATCAAGCACAGAATGCGGAAACCACACAAGATAAAGCAAAAAGTGTGGATACCCAAAGTGTGGATACCCCAAAAGATAAAGTACAAACTGAGGAAACCCCAAAAGATCCAACACAAAGTGTGGAAACCCAAAGTGTGGATACCCCAAAAGATAAAGCACAAACTGAGGAAACCCCAAAAGATCCAGCACAAAGTGTGGAAACCCAAAGTGTGGAAACCCAAAGTGTGGAAACCCCAAAAGTTAAAGCACAAACTGAGGAAACCCCAAAAGATCAAGCACACCATGTGGAAACCCCAAGCCTTCAAGGTCAACAGTATATCAAAGACACGGTAAATACTAACTACCAAATTAAATTTATGGTAATATCAGTAATTATGTAAGTTTAACCACCAATATTACGGATTATAACAAAGGATGAGAGGAAAGTATAATGGAGGACCGAATAAAAGTCACAGTAAACAGTTAAAACTTAACTTCTAACGCGATGAATACAGACTACGTCTATATAGCTAAGAAGGGGTTAGGAATGAAATTACTTATGCCGTTTTAGCGAATTTCCCTATAGGGAAGTAGCTATTACCGTAGGTCTCATGGTAAGACTTAGGCCCGGGACCGATTTACTTTTTCATTTCGATGTCCCCAAAGGCCAAAAACACAATTCGTTCAAATTTTTATATATGTATATATATATGTATATATATATATAGATTTATATATATATATATATGTGTCCGTGAACACGATAACTTGAGTAATTTTCATCCGATTTTGATTAAATTTGGTTTGAAGGTGTAAGGCGGGATAAACTTGAATGAGTTCGCGATCCAGCATGATCGGACCATGGGAACAGGGTTTTATGGGGTAAAAATTGGTTTTTCTCACTTTTGACCCTCAAAACGCAAAATTCCCCAATTTTTCTCTAAATAAGATCTTCTTAAAGAGCTTAAAAAAACAAACAATTCAGTATGTCAAAGTGTTTTTGTACGGTTATTGGTTACGGAGAAAACTAAAAAAATTGTAAATTTAAAATCCCTATGTTATTCTTATGGAGAATATTGTAAAATGTTGTAGTTTGCTTGTTTATGGATATCTTTTGATCAAACTTGGCAAATATATTCATTTTATACTAAGCAATAATTATTTTACTTAAAACACACACTTTAGTTTCCTTGTAGCAGCAAACCTAGGTACTCGTTTAATCTAATTTTATTTAAATAGATCAATTGTAAATCAATTCAGCCAAATGGAAATTCGCTTAGACAGCAGGTTAGCTGCGGCGGGGGTATTTGGTCTAAGTATAGTTTTTAGCGAATTTCCCCTATATATATATATATATATAAATAATTGAAAACATTATAAAAACATTAGTACCCTTTTTAAATTCATTTTTAATTAATAAACGACATGTTTCGACACTTAGGTCATAGTCATGTTTACATTTACAAATACAATAACAAAAATAATGAAAGGAATAAATAGTCATATGTTAAGTTAACTTAGAATTTAGAGGATCTTGATTTAATCTAAATTCTAAGTTAACTTAACATATGAATATTTATCCCTTTCATTATTTTTGTTATTGTATTTGTAAATGTAAACATGACTATGACCTAAGTGTCAAAACATGTCGTTTATTAATTAAAAATGAATTTAAAAAGGGTACTAATGTTTTTATAATGTTTTCAATTATTTATATAGTAGTAGCCCTAATCACAATCATACTTATTATACATATTTTTTTAGAGGCTGGCTGTCTCTTTTAACCTTGCATTTGCCCGTCCACATAGACTAAGCGCCCGTGCGTGGATCGTTTACAGCAAAGCAAGGAGTGAGTTGGTACAGTACAAAGGTGAATTGTACTGATAAAATGTTATCGGCAGTGACCAGGATCCGAACCCACGACATCGCTGCCTTTGGCCCGAAGTCCGCGACGCTACCGACTGAGCCACCGACTTACTGAAACCAAACTAATACCTAAACTAATTTACCTGGGACCGATTTACTTTTTTGTTTTGAGGTCCCCAGAGGTCTTAAACACCATCCGTTCAAAAGTATTGCTCGATGGGCGTACCTGAAAAGAGCCCGTTTGCTGGGGTGGTTTAGTGGGGGTATTTTTATTTCCCCACACAAAACAAATGGTCAAAGTTATAGTTTTAGAGTTTGAATTTTGGGTAAAAATGTCCGTTTTGGGTCCACCTGAAAAAAAAAATAGTTTTCGAAATTATGTCTGTGCATGTTCCCAGTCCAAAAATCGTGTTTTTCTGCATATCAGTTTGGTACATACAGGTTTTTGCAAGGCACCTAATAATATTTTAAAGGTCTACATTAAGAAAAAACAAACTATGCACATTGCACACCTCTACGTAAAAGTCCACTTTTTGTTGGTATCCCAATTTATTTGGAACACCAAAATTGGGCGTTTTTGGGGCTTTAGGATTCATCAACCTGAGAGACCCCACTTAAACATCAATCCATTTGTGCATTAATATCCCTATTAATATTTAATCTGGTAGAAAGGTAATTCATTATATAACCTTTATAATTAATTTATTTTTGTTGGTATCAAAATGAAATATCTTGATTACAATGAAGTATCTTGTATTCAATTTACAGTATATTTATCCAAGGTTGGACTACCTCACAGTAAAAGAAATTCAGTTATTTTTTGTAACGTAAACATAAGAAGGTAAACATTGCTCGGGAAGAATATTTATTGTCTGCAGCTACCAAATAGTAGCTAATATTATGATATGATTCTTGGTTTAAATCATTCTTGGTTATCAGTAACCAATGTGGTAAGACAAGGCTAAAGCTGAAATTATTTCCTAATAATATTTTTCCATTTCGTATTTCCATTTCATTATACGTTTTAACTATAAGTGAATCATGAATATTATTTTTACAAACAAATATTACCTCTTTGCCACAACTCTCGGATAACAAGGTCACCAGTTGGGTAATTAGAATTGACAGTTGTTTTTAATCGTTCGAAACTATACCTCGTCCCAGCGGTCTCAAATAGCGTAATAAAAAAATGGGTGTCTAAAAAACCTGATCCTAGTAACACATCTTCATAGTTACTGTTATTCATCCAGCATTTATATTTTGTTTTGAGTCGTACGTTTTGGTTTGGCCTTCATCCAAAGGAATTATCACACACAGACTATCTTTAATTTTGTATTAACAATGTTTACTATATTTTAAACAGGTATGTTGCTAAATTTTCTAATACGGTTTCCTCAAACTACTGCCATTGACTAATATAACCCACGTCATAACTTAACTGCAAGATATTTATTTAACTAAAAATATTCAACTAATACAATATATATATTTTAGGATGACAACCTTAAAGAACTAAAACCAGCCCTTATTGAGATTTTAATCTCAAAGTTCAAAAAAGTAGGACGTTTGGATGAAGAAGATATTAAGTACGAAATCCAAAACTTCTACTATGGTGCCGGATGGCGCTATTTCAAACATGCAACGGAAAGTTCTCTACATAAAAGCGTCATGACGGCCAAAGGCTGGAAGAATTGCGATGAAGTGGAGACTGCGATGGTAGATGCTACCACCATCAAGGTACTAGTGATCTAATGTTGTAACTAAAAGGAATTACTTGCTTTATACTATACTTGTTATACAATTGTTATCATACCATAGACAAAAAGAATTAAGTATAGACTGTCAGCTGTGCTGCGGTTACCATAGGTTCTAGCGCACACCACTGGGAGCGCTATGTAGTTACGGTCTACGCGCTACGTAACTACACGGTGCTCCCAGCGGTGTGCGCCAGAACCTATGGTAACCATGGTAACCACTGCACAGCTGACAGTCTATATTTAATTATTTTTGTCTATGATCATACATTGCCACTGCTTAGATGGAATGGCGAGTTTTTTATTCGCGGTTAGTTTAAGTTTGGATCTGTAGATGTTTAAATTTAAAATTCATTGAATGAAGGTTGACAACATAAGAAGTGTAATTTTCAAAGTAGTAACCAACTACGCATACTATAGAATAAAATCATTCATTTAGCTTGCTTGCATGACTGAATGGAGTAAAAACTAGAATGGAACAAGCCATTGATTTCTCTTTTCTTGATGGAAAGTTGAAATGTTTAACGTGCACCGTTATCGTATTAATTTTTAAAAGAATTATTTGCCTAAACATTGATTTTATAAGTTGAACATCTATACAATGTGTCCCACAAGTAAGTACAAATAATTCAGGAATGGGTTTATTGGGTCATAATAAAAGTAAAATCAAGAATAACACGTAAACAAAATTCCTCCCTAGCGAGATATCCACAATTTGTTTTTTTGTGTTATAAATTTATTTGTCAAACACTATTTAAGATATGTTGATGAAATGGTATACAATTGTATCTCGTCCTAAAGTCATTACAAAATATATTGATTTCAAATTGTCGGCCATTTTAAATTTATAAATTAAATAATTAATAATTTTAAAAATGGCTGATTTTATGAAAAAAATTCAAAGAATATTTTTATTTAACCCAAAAAATTTCCCATCAAATGACACCAAGATCTAAAAGATCGAATAACAAATAGCTGAGAAATCACAACTATCGGCTCAAAATTAAGCAAATACTGACCGCAAGGCCTTATTTTGCCTGGCCTGTACAACTAAAGTCGTTATTTATTATCCCTTTTGTTTATTATGATAATTTATTTGTTGCAATGCAAGAAACATGCGCTACAAACCTTTATTGATTTTAATTGAATAATAATTTGAATTGGGTAATCCAGAGATGTACAGTTAGTTATTTGTTTTGGTTCATAAAGTCTATTATTCTTCATATAGGCCTATTGACATGGGTTTCGGACAAAATCTTAATATCAAAGAACCAGTTGATCTACTACATACGTTGTTAATTTGATTGGGTTATTTTTAGCAGAGCTCCTAGAGTTTCCGATCTATTTTGTCCTTATTTCTGTAACTTTAAAGAGCTCACTTTAAAGTTTCCTGTCGTTGCATGAAAATAGCTTATTAAATGTGTTTCTTTATAAGGTGAAAGAGAATCAATTACTATTTTAACAATATTTTAAATAGTGAATTTAAGTTTGCGCACAAATTATAATGAAAACGGCGGGAAATCCTGGTAAATTTGGCATTTACACAAAAATGGTTGTGGTTGTGTTGCTAGCCTAGTGGTTAGCGTCTCGGACTTCGGTGCGGGAGGGACGGGTTCCATCCCCGGCACATCCTCTAAACTTTGATCTCTTGTAACTTCTCTTGTGAAATGCCACTGGCGTAGGAAAAAAAAAAAAAAAAAAAGTTATACAAAATTGACGCACTACTATATTTTTGACCAATAATTCAAAACCCCAATTTGCAAATTATAAACATAGAAAAGTCATAGAACGCTCCCAAGAAGAAGAAATAGAGATTTTGTTTTTTAAATAATTTAATATTGTTATTAGCCTGACTAATAATGAACATAACATTGATTCCTAAAAACGGTGAACGAGAATTTTAGCCAAAGTGCTACAGTTTTTTATTAGTAGGACACATGGACTTTTTTTGATAATTGCAGAGGAAACTCCTTTAATGCTAATAATCCTTGCACATAAAGGAAATGCAATATGTGTTTTTATAAAAGTCAAGTGGTTTTAGGAGAATAGGACCCTAAAAACCTTTATTACAGCTCAATTGTAATGATTCAATTATTCACAGTTAAGGAAAACAAAAAAACCTGAACATTATAGGTATTACAGGTATTTTAATCCTGAATTTTCTCAGGTAAATATAATAAACTTTATTACACCAAACAACCAAACGAATGTCAGTTGAAGCAAATAAAATTTATAGACAATGCAGGATAATAGACGGACCAAAATGTCTTTTCCACCCACGCTCATTTTCTGACCATTGTTTTACACAAGTCTTTAAACTAAAGATTGCGAGAAAATAGTCACATTAGGCTGCAATTATGAAAATCTTCTACTCAAAATATTTTCCTGCGTACCGGAAAAAATCTATTTACGCAAATTTAAAACATATTCTGTTCCCTGCGTTGGTGCTGTGTACGGGATTACAATATTTTCTTCAGTTGCTTTACAGTTAAAATAAGTTTGGATAAATTAATACAATATAAACTACCTCCTATTTACTATGTCTCTAACGTATTGTATCGTTTTTTTTTATTTTGCAGTGGAGTGATGTGGAAACCCGTTTAAACGGGCACGCTACTCCCATGAACGATCTCAAAGGCATCCTCGAAAAAGTATCAAGGGAAAAACTTCAGGAGTGTTTCGCCCTTTTGTTTACTGACAGATTCTGTGGGAATCTAAGGGAGAAAAAAGATGAGGTAAAACCTTAAAAAGCTAAAAAGTGTTTTCTGAGTTAAACAATAAAAATATTGATCATACCTTACAATATTGTTATTAATTTTGGACCTTTATTTGTCTACTTACTAAATTATATACCATCTTTAAAAACTATATCTCAACTAAACATAACATTCTTGCCACCAAAACTGATTGTACGAATACACAAAAGGTAAAGTACCTTTGTATGTTTTCACTCTCAAATCAGTGGTTTGAGTTTGAGGATTGCTAGTTTTGGGCCAAAGACGAATTTCCAAAAGGGAACATCCATGAAAATGCATGAGGTAAATCGAATTTTCCTTAGTCAGGAAAATAATATTAAGGAAAATAATATTAAGGAAAATAATAGCCTTAATTTTCCTATATTAGCATGATAGCTGTGGCAGTATAATTCTTTACATAATTAGAAAATAGGATTTCGAATTATAATTGACTTTTAGGATCACACTCCTGATATGGATATACAATTCATGTAAAATATGCCGTAATGAACCAAGGAATGCCAAAAGGATTTTCATGGATTGTTTCTTCCATGTGGTGCTGACAGTGAAAGCCAGTTTTTTACAAAATCCGTGACAGCAAGGCGAAATAACGTTGGAGGGAGCGGGAATGTTGTTGACGGTTAAAGGCGTCAGGTTGAGGTTCTTTGTCATTGGCATAGTTAAGTATCATAATCTTTGGTTAGTAAAATATATTTAATACTTTATACTTTTCTTTGAAATAGCGACCATATGAAAGTAGGTATTTTAAGCCAAGTACGAATGGAGATGAGTGTAGGAAGAGTGGCGCAATCTTGTAGTCTTGTTAGTGACTAAGGCCGACATTCCTTAGATACAGCTGTTAATTAATAGCCCATTCAGCCAATCGCAACTAAGGTACCTACTTATGGTGGGATCCGAACCACATTTTAGTATTGTAACTAACAAACTTGTCTAATTATCAGGACAGTACTGCGGATAGTCGTAGTACTCTCTAGTGCGGACGTTAATCCACACCAGTGAGTATCTTATCCACAGTGCATTCATATAAATATCCACAATGACCTTCTAGTAGCTGGATTACAGGACGAAGCCACTGTCCCCTGTATAATTTTATAATATATAGTAACACAAACGTCCAAACGCTCATATAAATATTGTGTTTATATTATATACCAAAACATTGCAGATCGTATGTTCCACTGGTGAGGAAACAACTGGGTCATATAACTGAATGTGGTATTTATTCTGCAGTAAACTTTGTGCAATTTAGTTCATATGGCTAGTTGTATTTACCAAACATTTATTTGGTGGTCAATTTTCAAACGCGATGGCATACGATTTATATTTAAGATATTTGTTTAACAAATTGACAAGAACAGTACTTGTAAAAGATTGTTTGTGACAAAGAAATTTTAGCCTTAAAACCACGTAATCTTATTTTTGTATATTTAGTAAGAAATGTTACAGTAATGGTGTATTAAAACATTTGTAATATGTGATATTAAAACGATAATAGTTACTATAAAATAATCCACTACTAGAAATAACCCACTAACAGTCGATTGAACCTTTATTGTTCAAAGACAGCGGTTAAAACCAGTGGTTGGTTGATTACTTTTGAGGTAAAATATTGTAACAAGCTATTATTGTATCAATCTACTTTATTGCAGTCATGTTAACGTTATCGTATCTTAGATTATTAGAAAGAAATGGAAGATTGTTAGATTTATTACAAATTATAGGGTACAGCTAGAAATTTACGACCGTTAATTGTCTGTTAGCATTCTTTTACACCTTTTGGTTATCACAAAATTTCATTATTCGTACCCACTAACTCAAGGGTTAACTAATATTGATATTTCACAATGAAACTGCGAACCTTTTGGCGTTGCCTGAAGCCTGAATCCATGTTTTATAAATTCAAGTTAATGGATCTTTGAAAAATCTTCATTGTTCAAAGTAGGGAAACAGTATATTTAGTAGATTACTCAATATTGAAAAGGACCAAACTAACGATCTTCTGATCTTCAGCAGTCCATGTCGAGTTAGAGGGTACACTTCCGCATCTGTTGTCAAAAACAACCGAATGAAACGATATATCGATTATTTCAATCGATATATAGTTTGGTTAGTTAGGTAAGGTATAACCATTAACTAACTGACCTAACTAACCAAATGATATATCAAATGAAATAATCGATATATCGAGCGATATTTTCATACGGTTGTTTTTGACAGCATATACGGAAGTCTACCCGAGTTAGAAAACAAATATTTTGTACTATTACGCTAAAGTTGATATTGATATTTTAAATGTGTATTTCGTGATTGGCATAAAGTATATTGACAGTCATATCAAATGGGCTGCTATGGTTCTAACAGACGAAATACAAATAGTGACATTATTCTGTACACTGATATGTACAGTAATGGAAAAACATTTTGGAGGTCTTCTTTAAACATCATCTTGGCCAATGAAGCAAAAAGCTCAGTGCGACTGGATCGTCACAGCTGATTTGTACGTCATACCCTAAATCTGAACAATATTTATAAATAAAAAAATATAAATACCTTCCTATAACTTGTGTTCTAGATTTGTTTTAGTCATACGAAATGCTTAATTTAAAAGCATGATTTTGTATGTCAAACCAAAACCAAACGAGACTTCAAAAACGGAATACAAACGGTTATGGTGGGACTCCTTGAGATTACTAAACGAAACAATGATAGAGTGCACTTAAATTTAATGTTAAAATTACTTATCTAATTTTATCCCCTACATCCAAATGCAAGAACCATTCTTAAATATTTAATTGAAAATTATTAAATAAAATACTCGTATATATAATTTTACGATATTATGTGTCACAACTATTCAATGCTTTCAATGATATGTGTAATACAAATGACACAACTTCAAAAAAAAACTGTGGGAATAACAATCAAAAGTATTTTTTAAATTTGAAAATACACTATGTGAACAAAATCATGTTTTTCATTAAGGGCTATCTTTCCATTAGTCTTATTATCAATGGTTTAGTCTTACACTGTTCCAAGAAATATTCATGCATACTTGGTACAGTGTGGTTTGAATTATTGGAAATACATATTTGATTATTTTTTATTTTATGGAAACCATAAGGTTCACTAATTTGCATGACTTGGAACTCGTCTGGATTAATTAGGTTTTCCTCCAAACACTTCTACAAAATAGCCAGCTAATTAGTCAAGTCCCAGCATGTTCCGTAGAAGTAACAGGTTTCAACATAATGGTAACATGTCTTAACCTCCTAGTCGTTAATACAGTTATGGCTTATATTCACTGCATAACACTAAATAAACACTACCGTGTTCTGTATTTTAAAACTTATAAAACTCTATCAGATGGTCGAAATTATCCCATAAATTCGTTTTGCATTTTAAGTAGGTTACAAATTAAATAATCTTGTATTTAATACAGGGTACTCAGGAGTATTTATTCTTTCATAATTTCTACCAACCACCATGTTTAAAAGTAGCCGTTCCAGTTCAGTTCTTAGAATTGAAAAGCTTCACATAACAGCATGGATATACTCAGAACAACACGGGTAACTGATCAATGAGGTTCAAGGATTGAGAGAGAAGAGGTAAAATTGTGATGATTCAAACTTCAACTAAAAGCTGTTCACACCAATTTAATTGTTGAGTCGTGCAATTAGTGTTTGGTACAATGTTTCGTTGCATCACTGTCAGTGGCAATGAGAGGTTATGAACGAAAACATAACTACTCTTAGAAGTTATGAGTAGTTATTTTTAGTAATTGAACACTGTCGTAGGTAAAGTAGTGTACGCGACTCGCGTAAATAGTGTTAACGACACTCGTAGAAGTTTTAAGGCACTCGCCAAGGCTCGTACCTTAAATTTTCTACTCGTGTCTTTAACACTAACTTTACACAATCGTTGCGTAAACTACAATATTGTTTATTTCGCTTTCTAAAGAAGATATTCTACTGTAAAGTAGTGAGATAGTTTAACCTACTTCAGTAGTTGTAGATCCGATTATACAAGCCACGATCTGGTGCCAACCCGCTTACACCCACAAAACATCTTGAAACAGCTGACTGTATTGTCGTACCAGCTGATGTCTGCTAGGATCATGTCTTGCACCATTAAAGACTCTAAAACAATACTTTACAATCCAGCGTAACTTGGGATATTAGTGTAATATATCATGAAACTGATTTGTATGTATTTAGAACGCACTACATAAATTCGCAAAATAATATTGGCAGAAAATAATTATTTTTATTTGTAGAAATTTATGAACTTAGCGATGTTTATCTCATTACGAAAACGCTTTTTAAAATTTAACATGCTACTTAGTATATGAATGTCCGTAATCTAATGAGCTCTATATTTTTTAAGATTTTATGTTTAGGCTATAATCTTTTTACAAATCTTTAATCTTCGATATCCAAAGAATTGTGAAGAAAAATGTCAAAATGCATATACTAGAACATATATAACGGTCGTTCAACTTTAAAACATATTTGATGATTTCTAAGATAACACTTTTTAAATATATTTTGTGTAAATCCAAACTTTACAGTTACATAGGCCTACAAACATGAACATAAAATTCCAAATTACAAAAACTAATCTAAACTTCTTTAAGTACAAAGATAATAGTACTATTTTTAGTTGTAATTAACATACTGTTAAAAGTTTGTGAGAAAATTGAATTCCAGGAGATAATGCGTGCTTGAAAGTAAAGATAAGGAGAGTGGCAGTAAAACGTTTTGCATAATTGAGATGGTTGTCATTTTATTACTGTCTGGAAGGAAAGATGAGAAAATGCAATTAAACACAACTGAGTAATCCCGTGTTGTGTCTATCTTTAGTGCGCATTCTCTTTCCAAGATGTCCTGTATGATAGCACTCTTATTTTGGCCATTGCAATGAGAGTAGTTTTAATTTTGTAATGACATTTAATATAATAATTTAATTTAACTATTGCAGGATCAGTCGTTCGTCTGTCTTTTAGTTAGTTATTACTATGATATTGTTTGTACTCAACAAATCT